TTCGCACTAAGCCGCTCCGCTCAACACCGCTCCTCACTCCACTAAAATTTCCTCCCGCTCCAGTCAAATCGCTCCACGCTCCCTCCAATTTAAAAGAGGGACAAATAATCTGTTTGCCTAACAAATGTCGCCTTATATCATAAAGAAATATGAGCAACGGCAACATTGTGTCACATCCCGCTCCGTACGATCCCGATGTGTGCCACGCCCCCCTCATTACCTCGTGTTCAGCCCTGATTGTTCTCACCTGTTGCCTGTTCCGTTTACCAAATCTTGTGTATATCAGTCCGCGTCTCCCCATGTATGCCAGATCCGGCATTGTGTTGCCAGTGGCTGTCTGTACCTGTCTGTCTTTTGACGATTAAACCCGGTTTACCGGAAGTCCTGGCTTGCTCTCGTCTGCTTCCCGGCCCGCCCGTCTCCGAACGTGACGCATTGCCACTCAGAAAATATTTATTTTTAAGCAACATATAGGCAACAACGGACAGGTTTGGCAATGGCATTCCACACAAAAATAGGCTTAAAAATAAAGGAATCAGTGGGCTTAATAGCCTAAAGAATATACAGGCTACGCTGTCAGTGAAATTTTATTTTATAGACGCAGCAGCAGCATCAACAGAAAAAAATGGAGGGATTTAAAACGTGGATGCTTAGCCTGTATATTCTTTAGGCTATTAAGCCCACTGATTCCTTTATTTTTAAGCCTATTTTTGTGTGGAATGCCATTGCCAAACCTGTCCATTGTTGCCTATACAGTATGTTCCTTAAAAATAAATATTTTCTGAGTGGAAATGTTGCCGTTGCTCATATTTCTTTATGATATAAGGCAACATTTGTTAGGCATGCAGATTATTTGTCCCTCTTTTAAAATGGAGCGAGCGTGGAGCTATTTGACTGGAGCGGGAGGAAATTTTAGTGGAGTGAGGAGCGGTGTTGAGCGGAGCGGCCTAGTGCGAATTAGAGCAGAGAAGCGGGCGGAGCCAACAGCCTCGTGAGCTCCACTCCGCTCACATGCTCTGATACAAAGCCTCATTAATAATTTAGCCATACTAAGCTGCTTAAATTGTGGGAGTAAATAAATGTCAGTATAGCACAGAAAAGCTGGCGCACGGCCAAATGTTGCGCCTGTCATCTGAAGCCCTACTGATTATTGCGCATGCGCAATATAATATCGATATATCATCGCCCAGCCCTAGTTCCTTGAGACAATGCTTAACTAAGAGAGACACTTAACCTGGTCCAGAGCAGGACACCCACATAACACAACAGATCTGGCAATATGGAGCCACTTTGCGTGGTGACCACCCATAATGTGAAAGGATGAAATCAGGTACAGTAGTATTTGAGCAGTAAGTATGAATAGTAAAACAGACAAATATTGTACTATGGTCATGACTTCAGAAATTTAATAGTAAAATCATATCAGATTTTGTTACACTCAAGGAAATATTATCCTTTAAATCATTTACATCTGCTAAATGCTCACAAGTTGTACCAATTACCTTCACCAGAGTTAGGTTAAATTATATCAAATCTGTACTGGGCCATATACTATCATCATCCTTAAATATTCTTGTGACTTGCACCAACTATTTCATGATTACTTTTCCCCTTGATTCACTTTCACACTTTACATTGTGCATATTTATTCATAATTCAAGACTACAGTTTCTAATGGAATTTAATGACTTTTGGTTCTATACAGCTCTGGGAAAAAATTGAGACCACTCCATATATTTTAAGAATCTGCATGGTTCTATTGGCAGAAAGTTACACTGAGGGGCAGGTTGCTTCCAGGCTCAACATTTCTAATATTGTAGTACACAAGAACAATGTGAAACAAGAGACACTGGCAATAACCAAAAGCCAGTCAGATAGAGGACAGAAGCAACTATATAATACTAGAGATGACTGTCAACTTATCCAACAGAGCCTCAATCAGAGGATAACATCAACTGAATGGGAATGGGAAACAATAAGTGGTGTGAAGTGCACTACTAGGACAACTTAGTAACTCCTAGAAGCAGGAATGAAGTTGTGAAAATCAAGACAAAACCCCTTCATCTATGATAAACAGAGAAGAGCCAGGTTTACTCATAAATTGAGAGAAGAGTGAAACTAAAATTTTGCTGTGGTCTCAGTTTTTTCTAGAGCTGTATATTGGATTTAAAGGTTTAAAATTTAAGTAGGAATATCAGAATTAAATGTCAATGTTAACATGTATACGTTAAGAGCAAAGTTCAATGCAATGCAGCAGAAGAGCAAACTGGGACAAGCATCAGTTTGGTGATTAAAAGTGGTTGAATCAGTTTATTTATCCATGTTAAGCATCTTCAGATCTACAAGTTTAAATGTTACATTTAGCAATTGCCGTTTTTTTAATGTACAAGAATTCTAAGCACTAGAATAAAAGCAAAAAAATTCAAGGGCACTTGGCACTTTTCACAAGACAAATTTATCATAAGGGACATAGTCTTTTTAAAGGATTAATATTAAACAAATGAATATGTACCTTATGTTCCTTGCCAACACGTGTTTGTGTGTGTACACCTTTTTTGGTTAAGAAAAAGAAACCAGACACTCATACACACACAAACCAGTACAGGCACTTTTCTTGAGCTGTTTGTCATAAACAAATCAATACAAAAACTTTCCACAATTAACTTAAAGCTCAGCAGGGTAGAACAATTTAGCATTGGAATAAGTTCTCCTTTTCGTCTTCTCCAAGTGTCCAACTTCTTTGTTCATCTTTAGGACACACTCCAAACTACAGAAACATTTACAGAAACATAAAAAGTTAGAGTGATTGATTTATATTTTTTGTATCTATATTTCAAATACACTGTAGGCTTTATATTGCGAGGACACAAAAAAATCCTGTTTTGATACTTACTAATGATGATGATGATAATGGTCAGAATAACGGCTATCAAAATTGCCCACATCTGCAAATGAAAGTAAATGCATTTATTGCAAAACTTTTTCAATTACTTGAAACTACTGCCTGCCGTGTGCACTGATGATTACCATGAGTGATTTTATTATCCATACTGATAATCCCAAAGATGGCAGTGCTAAATAACTTAACATTCTGGATAACTTTGGACTTTCTCAGCATGTGGCAGTTGACATATAAGGGACATATTTTGGAGGTTGTTTCTGAGGTTGTTCTTATGTTGCTCTTTCTGATCATTACTGTTTTCTTTAAAATAACCATCTCTGCTGACATCAGCAGAGTTAAAACAGAAAGTGTTACATCAATGAAAACACCTGTGCACTATTCATCTAGCGTTTTACACCTATACCAACTCTGCCTTCAGTCCCAGTCAATGATTTTGAAGTCAGTTTCAATTCTAAAGTTATGAATGTTATTGATGCCATTGCCCCCATTAATGTCAAACTTCTCCAATAAGAAGAAACCACAATGGAGGAATGCCATGCTCGTAAAAGCTGAAAAACGATAGTGTAGAAAAGCACAGTGCAGGCGGCAAAAAACGAACAAGTTATTTTTCTGAAAGATTATTAATAAAAAATTACATTAATTCACATCTTATTCACTGTTGTTGATAGACTGAAAAACCACTCGGCATCAGTCACTTATTAACTGTTATCCACCAAGTCACGCAATGACTTTGTATCTTTCTTCACAGATAAAATTCTGAGGATGATACAAACAGTCTGTAACTCCATCTTGGAAAATATGTGACTTGTGGTCCCACTAAAACTACTTCAGTTTACCAAATCTGGCAAATTTTCACCCCCTCATTATGCAGCCTTAGGTGTACCAACTGATGCCTACCTACAAGCTTCTATAAAAGATGTTTTTAACTGTACAGCTTCAGATGTGCTAAAAATAGGTTCTCTTCTGTAGGGGCCTGAACACTACAGTTATCAAATCTCTTTTAAGTGTATGCCGACAGCAGCACGGGAGCCGACAGTGTCGTCTATGACCAATACATGTATATCTGAGGCTACAAAGCCTAGCTAAGTTCAAAATAAACAAATCACAGGGCCCTGATGGCATCTTACCTATAGTTTTAAAAGAGATGAGGGATATTATCAGCCAACCTTTAACTTTATTTCAGAAACCCTTATCTGCTGGTATGGCACCTTCTGATTGGAAGCATGTTAATATAATGCACATATTCAAAAGAGGGGATAGAAGTAATCCAGCAAACTATAGGCTAATCCGTTTAACTTGCATAACTGGAAAAGCAATGGAAACTATAATCCAAGTGAAAATGGTAAATTACCTGGATTCAAATAGCATTCTGAGGGACAGCCAACATGGATTTAGGAGTTGTCGATCCTGTTTAACTAATCTACTCCCACGGGGATCAACATAGATAAATGTAAGGTAATCCATGCAGGGAGCAGAAATATAAAGTACAGATATTTTAAGGGTTCCACTGAAATAAAGGTAGCCGATTATGAGAAAGACCTTGGTATGTATGTTGATGCTTCCATGTCCCACTCTTGCCAGTGTGGGGAAGCAATTAAAAAGGCTAATAGGATGTTGGGTTAAACTCTACACACCTAGAGATGTACAGTAAGTCAAGGGAGGTGATGGTAAAATTATACAATTCCTTGGTAAGACCCCACCATGAATAGTGTTTGCAGATTTGGTCACCATACCTTAAAAATGACATTGCTGCCTTAGAGGAAGGTCTTATTAGGAGAGGTTAGCTGAGCTGAATCTGTTCAGCCTTGAGCAAAGGAGACTAAGAGGGGACATGATCCACGTATATAAGATTGTAACTGGTCTGGATGCTATTCGGGCAAATGGCTACATCAATATTAGTTTAAATACTAGAACTGGTGGCTATACTTGGAAATGAGCAGGAGAACAATTTAAAATGGATTTGAGAAAGCACTTCTTTACACAGCGTGTAGTTAGAGTATGGAATAGACTCCCTCCCTCAGTGTAGTGCAAGCTAAAACCCTGTTCCTTTAAATCAGAGCTAGGTAAGATTTTAACAACTCAGCTATTATTTGAGTTCTCCCCAAACAAGCTTGATAGGTTGAATGGCCGCCTCTCGTTTGTAAATTTCTTATGTTCTTAAGAACTGAACCATCTGTAGCCTGGTAAGAAATCTAAATTGTGAGAGTGGAACAAAAACAGCCCTATTGTCTTATTTGAACATTTTAAAACAATTTTAAAACTAGGTTGTGTTTTGTTTTGACAAAGATCACACTTTTATTCATATTTTGCAAACTGCAGACCCAAGAATAAAAGAAAAACACACACACATAAATTCAAGTCTCCGCTCCCAGCTGCTAGTTCAGCAGCAAGCTTTTGTTTTCCCTGTCTTCTACCATTATTATACCACTTTCAGTACTGCCTGGATGATCTGGTAGTGCCAGAGAATGAGGCCACACTCGCTGCTACCTCATGCCATGCCTGCTTCACTCAAAATGCTTTAGTGGAACAGAGGTGACGTGCTTATGCCTTTTCACCTCGTGCACATGCATGTCCATTTCCTCAGCCAAATAGCGATCTTGTTTGCCAAATGCACCATTGTAACAGCAATCTGCAGTAGATCATGTGCTGCTGCCTTTTACAGGTGAGGTGATGTACCATTCCGATTTGGGCGTAACATGCAATGAACCAAACATGACTCTGAATAGTTAAGAGTTAGGACAACCCCTTTTCTGCCTTGCACTGGCACAAAATCTGGTTTTTCCATCGCCAAAATAGAGAAATGGATTTAAATAATTTTTAGTTCTGCTTTGCGTTTTACGCTTTGCGTTACATCGTCAAAATAGAGCCTTGCAAGTTAAACTGAAAAGACTATAGGACTTTTTGATCCTGTGTTAAAATGGTTTGAATCATATTTACAGGATAGGGATTACTTTGTGTCAATTGGTAATTATGAATCTGAGCAAACAAAAATAACATTTGGAGTTCCTGAAGAGTCCATTCTTGAATCCCAAATTAATTATATAGCCTGGCCAGTTCATTAGTCTTCAATTCAAAAGTTTGTACGAGGTGATGATATAAAAAAAAAAGAAAAAAGGGGAAAAAAGTTTGTATAGCAAACTAAACAAAAGAAATGACTACACTACATCTCTGAGAATTGTTTTAGAGAGACTTTGGTGCATTGTAATTTTTTCATTTATGCTAATGACATAGAACATTATGAAAAAAGTTTGTAATTAGACTTATGTAATAATAGGCTGGAAATGTTTACCTTTCAAGAGCTAGTAATAGTCTGCCTGTCATATAACTTATTTGATATAAAAAAAATAAAAAAAAAATTTTAACAAACAAAAGTGAACCAAAATGTGTCGCATTACAGCCCTACCTCCGACCATCAAAGGCACTGACTTTAATCAGTATTTGCCCATATTTAGAATCTGTGCTGAGCATGAGAAAGCCCCCAAGATCTTCCACCAACTCATACCTTACAGTTTTTCCACCAGTACTTCCTCTTCAGCTTGGCAGCACTCGTTTCAAACTGAGAAGCACCAGCCTGTAATGCATCAGCCCGGTCATCCAGTTCTGACAGTTTTTGGTCTCTCTCCAGCACTTTGTCCACATTGACACGCATGATATCCACAACCTAAGGACACATACAACAATTCAAAGGAGGAAACCAAATATATTGACATCATTAGCAACCCAAAGACCCATTTACAAAAAAGTAGTCTCTGAGGTGGTCCCCTAAACTAGATACAGCTATTACATATATGAGGTATCATACACATATATAAAGAATTGACCTGTTAGTTGGTCCCCTGCACGAGATAAGCACCCCAAAACTGTAAAACATATAAAAAGAGCCTCAAAAAATCTTGTGGGAGTAATTTTTTCACTTATCAGAGAAGAAAATGCGCTGCAATGTGTCACTATCCAATGACATCACAACACAAGGTGGGGTATTTTGTACTGAATTCGAAAAATGGCTGTAGTGTATTATTGGGCTGGAAGATGTGGGATATTAATACCAACATCGTATGTTATGTACATGTAATTCTCACATTGCTTGTAAGATAAAGATAAGGCTTTTTCTTACTTTCAATTTAGTATATGGACATTAATATTATAGCAGAGGGAGTTTAAGTTTCGCTAAAATATTTTTACTCTGTCACAGAAAAAAAACCTTAGCTTTGCGATTTTAATTATTAGATTATCTAATATGTTTAAAAATCAGTTTAAAGTTTACCTCCACTGTTTATGCATGAGTGCTGCATGCGTTCTTTGAGACAATCATAGTCATTTTCATCCTTGCTTTTTAAAGCACTCCTAGACGGGATTTCTAAGAAACGTAGGAACTTCGTTTTTGCTTTAAAAGTACAGTGGTACCTCAGTTGTCTAACTCATTAGAACTCGAATTTCTTAAAAGTCGATTTGAAAAAAAATGACCTAGAACTCAATCTGAATCTCAGAAGTCAAACCATGAACGCTGACCTAAGATAACTTAGGCCGGGAACCAATTAATTGGTTTTCCATTATTTCTTATGGGGGAAATTCGATCAGAACTCAAACTTTTTAGGATTCGGTCCGGAGTTCTGCACGGATTAATTTCGAGTTCTGAGGTACCACTGTACCCCAATATCTATTACAACAAAATAGCATCGCCAGGACAGCATGCTACATACACTATGTGTGCTGTCTTAGTATATTAAACAAAAATGTTATTACAACAAAAATGTCAGCTGCATGACAAATGTTCTTCTGCCCAGTAATTTAATTTTTTTATTTTATCTTTGTTTTCTGAGTTTGTAACTCTTTTCACGGCGGCGTTTGTATTGTGTTTCAGGGGCAGGCTCTTTGAATAACCAATAGACAAAGAAAGGATTTCAAGTCCCACCCCAAAGTACCAAAGAAGTACCCCAGCTGGTTTGGCACTTTCGGTACTAGTACTCGACTACAAATCAATGGAAAAGCGAAAGTACCAAAAGTACCATACTTTTAATCTCTTATTTATTTCATACAAATAGGCTAAAGTGTACCTGAAGTGTACCTTAAGTGTTCTGGGGGAATTTTGCCTTTGACTTCAAAACTGAGCTTAATAGAAATGAATTTGTGGACCTTAGACAGGCTACACTTCACAGATCTTCACCTATATGTCTGCAGAGTTTGGAAAAGGTCAGACAAGTAATTTGAGTTATGCTGACAAGATCAAGTGTCTGAGCTGGCATTCTCTTTGCCATCACTACGAGGCATTGCTTCATTTTTGATGTGATTTGTCTTAAAATCTGATCAGGTCCAGATTTACAATCTTACAATGTTTCTACATACGTAGAAAAAACATCAGTGAAATATTTTTGAGTTATTGCGATGACAGGATTAAATGTCAAGTCAAGAGATTTATTTGTCACATACATACAACATGCAGTGAAATGTATCTCTGTGTCACCCTTATGTGGCTGTGTAAAAATAGAAAGAAATAAAAATAGAAAAAGGTAAGAAGTAAAGTCGGAGTAAAAAAGAGAAATTACAATATATAAATACTAAATAACCACCCTAGTTTTTGCTACCACTATGCAGTGCTGCTTCAGTTTGTCACCTCTACAATGGGTTTCCAAAGTTCTAAAAGTTTTTGAAAGATCTATACAATGCTTTTACAATTACTTCTTCACAAGAACGCTGTTTCAATGATAGTGATAACTTGTGGTAATCATGGATTTAATAATTAAAATTTGAAACTGTAATATTAACTGTTGGGAATTTTACCATGGTTTACTGTGAAACCGGTAACCATTTAATCCCTAGTACAGACTAAATGAAAGTTACTACCACCATATGACAACTAAACATGTGATTGCAACCTTTAGAGAAAAAATAATCTAATGCTATGCCAGAAAAATGTTTATTTTGCTGAAGAAATCCTAAGTCCAAATAGTTGGGCAGGTACCAATACACAATGGCAGTTTCCCAGTTAAATATGGCTGAGAAATTTGCTGAAAGTCCTACTTTAGGGTATATACAGAAATTTAAATTAAGAACTGAACCATCTGTTGCCTGGTCTGATGAGTCTAATTTAAATTTAACACTTTTTAATACCTTTTTTAATACTTTCTCAATATTTTTTAAAACCCGCACGGCATTGAGTTGCAACTGTTTTTAAAGAAGTTTCAAACTGATTTAAAGATTTATAATGTTACACAATTTTGGCCTGTACAACAGAATTTAAATAGGGAACATGGGTCAACAGAATAAATTTAGTGACT